GTGATTTTTTCCACAAAAACTTCCATTATCTTTTTTGTTAAAATTTGAATCCGATATAACAATTTTATTTAATAGTAATTTCATTCAAAAATTTATAATAATATTAAAAAAGTCGGATCTAATAATTTTTTTTTAATTTAAAAATATATTTGATATATAATTTTTATTAAGAATTTCATAAAATAGATTTTATACATCGAAATAATATAAAAATGGGATATAAAAAATTTTATGCGGATATGGAAAACTGGAGGGAACACACTTGAGTCTCAAATGCATAAGTATTGCTTCGAAAAAATGTATGAGAAAAGAATCGACACGCGATCTCGAGATTGAGTCGATTTTTACGGGTGTCGCTCTCCAAATAAATCAATCGAACAAACGACGTGTGTTTCTTTGCAATGAGAATTATAAGCTGACAATGCGGCATGTGCAATATCCATACGGCGAGCATAATCGATTTTCCGCGGCGGATATCGATCGCGCGCGCGCTCGCGAAACCTTGAACGTTCATTTGCAACTTAATGAAGGAACGAGACGCGAAGCGTGGAGCGCACGCGCGCTCGGAAAAAAATCGCGAATTCGATCCGTCAATCTTGCTCCTTCTGTGTCTTTCTCCCGCGCGCGTGCATACAATCGGCGCTTTTGAAAGATCGGATCGAAAATCTAATTACTGTCCCTTTCAGCCGCAGCGCGATTTTATAAAACAGTCGCTCGAATCGATTCGCGATTTCCGACGGACGATTCGAGTTGCCCGCACAAAGCGATCGTTTATGATGGATTGTCTTGAAGAGATTCTATGTTAAGAAAAGAGAAAGATCGGGAGACAATCCGGAGATAAATCGATAGGAAAGATGTAATGATAAGTCGATATTATTATTAAAGGCTTAGTTTACACCGTAGCAGTATGAAAAATTGATAATTTGTAGAAGTTTTTTTTGAAGAATATTAAAAATTGATCTTTTTGCAGTTTTATTGATATTTGTTTTTATTGCTGTTTAATCCTTTTTTTTATCAATATGAGGGCAGCGTGTTTGAAAATGCTTAGTTTAACGATGTGTGATACGCTGCTCCTTTTATTTAATAATAATTTTAAAATTTATATATAATATAATATTAATATACTTATATATAATATATTATTAATATATTAATATTTTTTTTAATGATATCAAAAAATTCAAATTGGATATAATAATTATATGTAAAATTATCCTAACCCGAACGATTCCCATAATATTATACAAATATTATACATTAAATATATTTTTAAATTTTACATAATTTTATGTAAAATTTAAAAATATATTTAATGTATAATATTTTTATTTAGAAAATATAATTAAAATGAATACACCTACCTTTATTCTTGGAATGCTAAACTTAATTTCATTTTTTAAAAATTAACAAAATATGAGTAGTATAATATTTTAAAATTAAATATTTAAATTTTGCAGGAATGTATTTATTTCTTGAAGATTAGAAAAATTTTAATTATTAATTTTTTACCTTTCTTACTTTGTATCGAATACAAAATATCACGTTCTATGTCAATCTAATTTGGATGTAATTTAAAAAAAAAAACAAGAAATGCAATATTTTGTGTGAAATTTTTGGAATACGATGATTTTTCACATTTAACGACGATCTAATAAGTATGTATCTCGGAAGGTGATCATCAAGAGCACGAGAAATTGATGGAGTTAATTAAGGTGGGATTTGAATAGAGAGAGGACCGATGCGGACCACTTAAGGATCAGAGGGAATCGTTCGGGTTAGGATAATTTTCCGGGATAATAGTGGGTGGAGTAACGGAATTGTGGAACTAGAGTAGACTCGACGAGCAATTATCGAGTCTTTATCAAAGGGGGAGTTCATGGCGATTACGTGACCTTTCACTTTTCCACAATTTAGTAACTCGACCGGCTGGTGACGTAAGCGTGATCGCGTTGCATGCCGCTAAACACTCGCGGTTACGATGATTTTAACACATCGTTGCTTAGTTTAATCAATCGTTCTCTCAGAAAAAACACGCATCTTCACGATAATTTATTTTATATTCTGCATATTTATTTTATTTTTAATTTAATTCAATTTTCTTTATTTAATATTTTACTTTTTATTTTAATATTTTATTCGTTTATTTAAGTATTTATTTTTATTCGTTTTCTTCTATAAATTTAATTCAATTTTATTTAAATAATTTTTATATTTTTTAATTTTTATAATTTTATATTTACTTTTATTTGCATTCTCTTTTCTTTCTTCTTATGCTATTTTAACGCTATTATAAGTCATTCTTTTTTTTCTCCTTTATAAAATAGATTTTTCCTCGTGTATTATGCTAAATAAATAAATAAATATTCTAAAGAAATCCGCGAAAAGAATATGTGATAAATGTCGATATTTTTTAAACAAAGAGGAACAATTTTTAAGAATGAAAAGAATTAAAAGTTAAAATATATTTTTATAATTACACATTTAAAATGGAAATATGAAAGTTAACATGTGTTAACACAGTTAACACATGTTAACTTTCATATTTCCATTCTTTTCAATATGATTTTTAAATGTTGACTTTCATATTTCCATTCTTTTCAATATGATTTTTAAATAATATAATATTTCAATATGATTTCTAAATAATATAATTCTTAATATATATGTAATAAAATATATAATATATGTAATAAAAATATATGTGATATATGTAACAAAATATGTAAATACCAAATAAATCTAAATGAGTCCCTAATTTTTTTCGAAATTCAGCGTCTCGGGTTCAACGATCTGATAGAGTCTGATTGCTCCATCTGAAACAGTATACTATCTAGCTCCTGACACTTACAGAGAGACGCGGCGTGTTAGCTTTGCAGTGTATCAGTTTGCGGCAAATCGTCTCGATTTATCTCGAGAATTTGAATCGCGGTACGACTCTCAAGGCCTCTCGCGCGCGAAGGATTTATTTATTCTCCATGGTTATACATGGGACTCTGAACGAGATAGGAATTAGGCGATCACGTTCCTGCCCGCAAGGTGCATACGCCGCGACCATAATCGCGATAATATTCCGCCTGCCCGGAAGACACACACATACAATGTTCGCCGCGACGCGCCGCGCGAATTGCATTGAATGCAATTACTATGTAAGTCGTCGATCGGGTCCACGTCCTTCTTTCCTTTCTTCTTCTTTCTTCCTCTCTGTCTCTCTCTTTCTTTCTCTTTTTTCCTCTGCCTTCTTTTCCGCGAGCCAAGCTCGCGCGCGCCCATCCGTGAGAGTTTACAACCATTCATCATTGAAATGTGCAACGTGCGGCATTGCACCACTATGTACGACCGACACCAGCGCAAATAGAAAGAAGAAAGAGACGAACGTATGATTTCATTCGTGGGTCCGCGCGATTGCGTCGTCTCTGCCCGAGAATCAATCATGTGTATGATTATTAGAATAAAAATATTGAATTTAAATCGAGAGAATTTCATTACATGATTAATTATAGAGGATAAGATCTGAATCTAAAGAGGAATTTTTTAAAAATATTTTTAAAATTATTCATCTGGAAGAAAGAGATTCTCAAATTGAAAATGTTAAATAAATTAATTTAATAATTGAGATAAATGATTCAATAGAAGAAATAATGTGTTAAGAGATAATAGATAAATGTGGGGGTAAAGAATATGGAATATATTTTTTAATTCTAAAAAAGATATTAAGGGAAAAATATTAAGTTTACTCCAATAAATTTACAAATATAGATTGAATATTTTAAAGAAAATTTATTTAATCAACATATAAAATAATTTAAAAAATCAATCTAAATTGAATATTTTAAATAAAATTATTTAATCAACATATAGAATAATTTAAAAAATCAATCATGTATGATTGTCATAATCAATAAATAAATCTTCCATTAATCCCATCCCAATTAATCATGTTATAGAGAGAGAGAGAGAGAGAGAGAGAGAGAGAGAGAGAATTAAAATAAAATTCCGTCAATTTATACTCAATTATTGAGATGAAGGATAAAGATGGATAAAATGCATTGAGATTGATAAAATCTTGAGCATTCAAAACAAAAACTCAAAAAAATTATATTTGTTTCGAAAAGAGATTCTTCTTAAACTAAAAATATTTGAAAAGTTAACTTACCAATCAAAATAAATGATCCAATGGAAGAAATAATGTTCAAGATAGATAAATATCGAGAAATAAGTTTCAAGATAGATAAGTATCGGGATGATCTAAGTATCGAGAGAGAGAAATGTACTTCTTAAAAATTTTCAAGTTTCAATAAATATAAAATAATACGCATAATCTGAATATTTAAATAAAATTATTTAACGAAGATATAGTAAAATTATATAGGAAATTTATTTTACAATCGTGGTACTCCATTATATGACTCGAATAAATGTTTCATGAAGGCGAAATTTTTGAAATCTGATATTTAATATGGAATCATGCGATTCGACAGATGAATCTTTATGAATATTTATTTGAGAATCTATTGTGAGAATCTATTGAATATCTATTTGAGAATCTATTGAGAATCTATCGATTTTTCTTTTGATTTTTGTCAAGTCGATATTCTCGTGAAAAAAGCAAATGCATTTGTTGAAATCAACTTTTCTTTAAAGCTACCGATATATATATTTAATAATAATTTAAAAATATTAATAAATAGTATTAATTTAAATATTATTTAAAAAATACTAATTTATATTAATATAATTAATAAGATAGAATAATAATTGATATCTATCCAAACTTTAAAAAATTTATATTTATTCGAACCACATAAAAACCACATAAAATAGTGACAAATTAAAGAAACAGCAAATTTTTCGCAAAGCATAGTTAAAATTAATAATATTAGAATTATTAATTAATAATATAAAATATAAATTAATAATAAATTAATTATGAATTCTTAGTATTTCTTTATTAACACTACTATTATACATGTATAATTATATATTTATTTATTTATTTATAGAAAAGCGAAAGAAGCTTGAATGAAGAAAGTCATCGCACCGTTTCGAGAATTCACCTCTCTCGATTAGCCCGCGGCGTTCTTTGAATTTCCTGGAAGCAAGTACTCATCTCGACCGGTGTACGGGTGTCAGGCACGAAGGAGATACTTTCGCGATATTCTGCGTGAAAATCGCGAACGCAATCCATCCAGAGCGCCGTCCAGAGATGCCTAGGACATCTTTATGCATCACGTGACATCTGCAGGAGCGGAAGCTGTAAACGAAACGCGGAACACAAGACGAAGGAAGAAAGGTAATGCGCTTTCGATGGTCCTGTATTATACATTATTCCTCTCGCCGACATTTTAACGCGAGAGCGGCGCGATTTTACATAAAACGCGCGATTTTACGAGACGCATAAGAGAGAAAGTCTCGGATCGCTCTGCAGTGCTTGCAGTCATTTAAAGATCATTCCGGGACTCGTCGTAAACCGCAGCCTCCTGCGTCCGCAATTTATCTCCTTTTATCGTTGCAGGAATCGGGTCACTGATAACTTCTTACTCCGCCCTGCGATGTTTCATGAGCGCGAAATAAATTTTCAAAGATTCGAGAAATCTTGAAAAAAATTTTCAAGACTTGGACCTCATGGTTGCATGTCAAACAAATTCGATTTTAGGAAACATTTATTCGAGTTAATAATCAAATGCCGCGAACGTAATAATTCTTTTATTCAAAAGAAGCTTTCCGACTTTTTACTTTATTATTAAGTTTCCATAATTATTCTATATCTTTATTACCTAATTTTCTTTCAAGTATTCAATTTATATTTGTTCGAATAAAATTACTTCAATTTTTTTAGGGATTTTAAGAGGGATTTTAGAGATTTTGAAGGGATACCTCAACAATATTCAGGATTACCCCAATTATCTTGAAACATTATTTCTTCGATTGGATCATTTATCTCAATTTTTAGATTAACTTTTATGTTTTTTTGTAGTTTGAAAAAATCTCTTTCTTTCAATGAAATAATTTTAAATATATATTAAATATATTTTAATTTCAAAATTAAATAAAAAAATTATATTACATTTAATTATTTGACTAAATATATGATTATTATGATAAAAATATTGAGTTTAAATTGAACGAATTCTGTAATAATGATGATTAACTGAAGGATAAGATTTGGATCATTCTAAAGAATTAAAAAAAAAAAAAAAAAATATATATATATATATATATATATATATATATATATTAAATATATATTTTAAAGATTTGGATCATTCTAAAAAATTTAATATATATTTTTAAAAAAAGAATCTTATCCTTCAGTTAATTACTACTATTATAAAATTCGTTCAATTTAAACTCAATATTTTTATCATAATAATCATATTTATCCAAATAATTAAATTTAATAAAAGTTTTTTATTTAATTTTGAAAATTCATATGACAGATAAAGTGGATTTAAATTTCATATATGAAGTCTTCCTTCCATTAAAAATTCACACTTGATCCTTAATGTTACAAAATTTAAATTCTCTCCTACTTACGATAAAATAATCTTCTTATCTGATTTTAGTATAAATTACTACTATAAATTCTCTTAAAAAGTGAGATGAATGGATGCGCGGCATTCTTTAGCAACTAGACGAAACGGATGCAATTTCAGCGGCGGCAGCCGCCGGACATTGTTTCTCCCTCATATCGCTCTACAAATCATATCTCAAGCTTGCACACGATCGCCACTTTCAAATAGTCTCTGCCCAACTATGCGAACAGCGTTGAATTAACGACGCGATTTCTAAAACGAGCGAGCGCGAGGAATATCGCGCGCGTTGCTAGCGATATCGTCCGATGCTTATTCTCGCCGCGGGCGAGAAATTAATTGCGGGATATATGTCCGAGCTACTTTAATATTTTTCTCGCAATGTCGGATTAATCGAAAGACGATTCGATATCTTCCCTCACTTGAGCTTCTCACGTTCACTCGAAAGAGAGAAAAGGGAGGGGGAAGGGGATAGAAAAAATTCTTGATAAAAAATTTCAAAATTCCTCGCGATGTTATCTCTTGTAAGGAAATATCTGAAACTTTTCATCGAACGATAATTTTGCGATGATTTTGAATCTCGTCTCTTCGCGAAATTTGCGGCGTCATTTCTTTCTCTCTTTACGAGAACGAAGTAATATGATATCAATTTCTACACTTTATTTTATGCGAACCAATAGCGTTCCGGGAGACAAACGATACAATCTTCTCGCGATACGCACAAACGGAACGCTGGCAGATTGTATCGATCGATATGAAATTACACTCGTCTATATAAAACGTGAGATAAATTACGCGCCACCGATCACAAGAAAAAAATGATAAACCTTATCGGCCGGCGATGCGCGCGAGACAGGCTGAAATTAAACGCTATTTTTCTCACCGACGCGGGGAAAGTTACGATTACGCGACATCGCGGAATCGATTCTGTGTTATTTAAATGAGTTTATCACGTTTCGCGATACCGTCACATATAACTCACCAATAAGCCGTGACATGTAATGCCATAAAGGGAAGATAAAAATATTATTTAATTAGAAGGAAAATAAGGATATCAAATCGAAATTAAAACTTATTTATTAAGATGCACGAATCATTATCTTTTCTCAATTAGATATAAAAAAAGAATCATTTAAAATATTATCAAATAATATTTAATAATTAAATTATAATATAATATATACCATATGTAATAATTATATGTAATATAATATAATTATAATATAATATATATAATAATTATATAAAAATTATATATATAAGTATATATTGTGTATTATATAAATAATTATATTACTTTATATAATTCATATAATAAAAAATATAATAAAATTATATAATGAAAAATTTTATTTTATATATATAATTATATTATATAATTATATAATAAAATAATATATAATTATAAAATAATATATAAAAAATATTTCTAAGATATATTATTAAAACTTTAAATTCTCTTCCCATTTATTTCTACAAAATTGCAGTACACGAATGCAATTACGCCGACGACGCAGCACGCAATACGCCAACGCCAAGCGTTGAAGTTTCTAAGCGAGCGAGCCAAACGCATATTGAAGTCTCCGCGAAACGCGTAGGGAGCGTCGCTTACATCACTGCATCGACGTCCTGAAGCATCGAAGTTTCCGCTAGAGACGCTTCTGGAGATTTTAACGCGCGGCGCGCGGACTTCGTGTCGGCATGTTGCATGTCGTAATCGATGGTAAATCGCCGTTTAAATTCCGGTTAAATAAATTGGCGAAATTAAATCGCGCTGCAACGGTCTGAACAGTCTGAATATCTTTATCGAACGCACGACCGTTTACCCTTTACGCGTCCTTTATGCAGCGAAACTATACTGATACTAGATTTAAATGGAAAATATATCAATTTATTTATTTATTACATGTTTATTATTCATTATTTATCATTAATTATTCATAATATTTGTATTTTCTCGCGATTTAATGATACTGGATATTTTGACATTTCTTTTAATATTTTGCATTCGTTCTAAAGGTGATTATTCGATTAAATCAATCTACGTTAAATTAGCCTCCCTTAGCATTAAAAATAATAAAATTTCTATACATAATTTGATTGCACATTGCTTGCATATAACTGAGAATAAAAATTAAATAGTTTATAATTAACTTAATTAATAAATTTTTGGTTACATACTTTTAATAATAAAGTTATTAACAAAAATTTTTTTGAAAGAAGGCTATTGAATTATATTTCATTTTTTTAAATTAATTTTTTATTAATTTATTCGTTATATTTATTATAGATTTTTGCTTTAATGATAAAGTTATTAACAAAAAAATTTTGAGAGAATCGATTTCAAATACTTTTCTTTTTGTAACTATTTTTTTAGAAGGGTGCAAATAAAAATTCAAAAACGGCAAACATGCGCAAACAATGTGCAATAAAAAATGATGTATTAAAATTTAATTTTCTCGAATGTTGGGAAACTTATATGAGAATATAATTTTATACGTAAGTCTTATAAATCGTGTATTAATATAAATTATCGAAATCAAAACTTGTTGTTCTACTAAACGCGCGACAATAGTCACTACTCGTTACTATGCATAACTATAAATACGACGCGATTTACATAACCGGGACTAGCTGGGCCTGGTTATAAATATGTATCGAGAGACTTGTCACGAAGATTTGCTTGCGCGAAAATTAAATCGCTCCGCGGTATATAATAACGGATATAATTAATGGTTCTATTATCGGAATCCGTATTTCATGCAGCGTTTCTCTCCGTAGCGATATAAACGTGACTAATATATTTGTGGCCGTAAAATTTTCCGCTGGCTCGTCTGCTACTCTATTATTTACGCATCGAAATTTTCTTTCGCAATAACAAGCACGAGATCGCGTAAACATCTTATAAAAGTGCACCTGAGATACGCGTAAAAAATTTCTGGGATTTAATTCGGAAAAAGGATATTCGAAAGAATCATAGATTCCGATTGAAAAATCTATCCAGAATAGAAGTTTTTAATATTTTAGAAACGCGATTCCAAGCGAAAAATCCGAGCAAATCCCATTTGCTTTCTCTAATGCTTTTTTTTAAATTTCCCAATTTTCAATCCAAATATTTAAAATGCTTTTTAGATGGAAAATTTAACCCAAGCAACGTTGCTTGATATTTGATTTTTAAAGTTCTGGATTAATCACAGATAGAATCAAGAAATTAATTAAATATTCTTAATTCAATTTATTTTAAATAAAATTTTAAATAAAATTTTATTTTAAATAAAATTTTATTTTATAAGAAGAATTAATTAAAATAAATTTAATTTTTCTTCATTTTCAAGGTTTTTTTATTTCTATTTCAATCTCTAAAATTGAAACAGAAATAAAAATGCAGAAAAATTAAAATTTATTTTATTTTTATTTGAATCCATTAAATGGGATTAAAACAGAAATAAATTCAATGAGTAAAAATTATTTAATAATTAAAATAGAAATTTAATTAAAACGTAATATTAGATCACTTATTTGGGGCGAAAATAATTATTAATAATTGGAATCTATACTGTAAATCTGGCAAAATCTTGGGAAATTTCCAGGCAGGTCGCGGAGGTGCATCTTTTCTTCGTGTATCGAGACAGAACCTGCGCGGGGGGCGATTAAAAAGAAACGCTCGAGCTGTTCACGTAGCGTTTCACGGTCGCACGATTTCGATAAATCGCGCTACGCGCTCGCGGATTGCTGCTCGTACGAAGCTACATCAATTCAA